CAGCGTGAAACCATTCCACCGACACAAACCTTGGAAGCAGCTAATTTACTCCCCTTGATGCCTCTCAGAATTGTGGTTATTAAACCATGAGATTTTAATGATGTTCCAAGACCACGCAGCTTTGCTGCTGCTCAGAAAGTAAGTCCAGGTATGGGGCTGTGCCTCGGCTGTGTGCAGCCACGGTGCGGGGAAGGTGACACCGTGTCCTGCTGGGTTCTGCCTGGGGGCAGGAGGGTGGGAGGCTGATGGAGGGGACAGGACGAGGGGACAGGACGTGACATTTGCCAGGTCAGAGCTGGAAGCCCAGAGCAGCCGGGGGGACCCATAGGTGCAGCCCTCTGCCCTGCAGCCTACTGATGGGCATTGCACTGAGCTAAAGGAACCGGCTCCCTGATTGCTCGCCAAACAATGCTACAAGTGGCTTAAAAAAAACACAAACCCAACCCCTTCCCCGCAGCCTTGGCCGCTTTGGGCCCATCTCCCCTCGGCTCCCCAGCTGTTGCTCTGCCTCTGACTCTCGCAGCTTGTGCGACCTTCAGGGGAGGGAAGAGCATCATATCTGGGCTCCTGGCCATACAGAAGGTCATTAGTGGGCTCCTGAGCTGGAAAGGGCAGCGCAGAGGAGCCAGCAGTGACATTCAGTGTGTTTCCGCCTGGCAAATTCTGACCAGAGAGCTGCGAGCTGGAGGGGGACGGGAGAAATCAATGCCCTTCCCGAGAGCTGCAGCTGCAGCTTCGCTGCAAGCCAGCATAAAGATTTATTCATCCATGTTTTCCATACAAAGTCAATACTCACCTTGGCGCTGATTTTTTGAAGCTGAGAAGAACGCTGCATTCCTCCACGGGGCAGGGAGCCTGGCCGCCACTTCCCCCCGCATCAATCCAGAGGGCCAAGGACCAGCGTCGGTGAGGAACAAGCGCCGACAGCTTCGTGGGACCGCCAGCAACTCCTCCCGGCACAGGCAGCGCCGAGGCACCAGCTGCCTAAAGACCAGGCAGAGCTCCAGGCAGCGCTCGGGGCACAGCAGGCCAGAGGCTCTGGGTTTAACATTATCACACTTTTTCTTCCCTGCTTTTAAAAATAAATTTAAAAAGTCACAAAAGGAACCTGGAGCAGCACAGCACCAAAGACACCGTTTCTGCAACGGGTACCCAGCTCCCACACCCACCCCAGGCAACTTGGGGCAGGAGTGGCCAGACCCAGCCAGAACTGCACCCCCACACAAGTGTG